GAGGATTTCAATTGAAGATGAGGATTTTAATTGAAGATAACGAGGGCTGGTAACTAGTGGGTGGAAGAAATCCTCCGGAGTCAAATGGAGCACAGTAAAACTCTCTTGTCATTTTCATAACATTGATTGATAATATCACACGAACCCTATAAATAAAATGGTGTTGATTCGACTCTTTTTATTAATGTGCAATCAAAGTCTAATTACTTCTTTTAACTAATCATTTGGTGGTTTGACGGAATCCTTAAGTTGAAGCTTTTTTTATGAGTGCTTGCATTTGGGTGTATACTCCCTCTGTCCCCAATTTGATTACAAATTGCGAGTTACGGAGTAAAATTTCTTATTTTTTGAAATCATTTTATTTATAAATTGGTATATCAATAAGATATAAAAATTACATATTAAAAAACTACGTCAAAAGTTCTACAAAACAAGAGGTGACAAGAATATTTTATTTTATCAAATACTTACACTATGTTTGGTTCAAGGAATTTGAGAGGGAAAGGAAAAGAAAATGAGAAGGAAAACTTTTTTTCTTGTTTGGTTAGAGAGGAAAAGAAAAGAAAAGTGGGAGGAAAAGAAAATGAGGAAGCAAAATGTATTAAGAGGATGGAAAACCAAATTCCTCCCATTTTAGTGAGGAAACTAAGGGAAAACCATTTTATTTTCTTTTCCTTTCAAATTCCATGAACCAAACATAGTTTTAATGAAATTACGTAAACAAACAAAAGTTATCGAGAGAAATAGAAAAAAATTGTAATTTATTTAGGGACTGAGGGAGCATTAGTTTTGTAAACTTTCTCTTATTAAAAAAAAATTTGGTGTATATTAGACATCTTCCATAAAATTTTCCCATTTTCATCTCACAAACTCTTCGCAATGGTCACTCATATCTCCCATTTGAATTTGGACAGTGCTAAGGTCTCTCCCGGCGGCGAAAACAACCAGGACCAGGCGAAACGAATCAAACGATGGAAAAACTCCCTGTTCAGTCGATTGTCGCCGTGATAATTTCTACGCTGATCTCCGCAGGAGCATACAGAAGAAAATCTCTCGACCTCTCCGGCGCCGTTGCCGGTTTCCTTGTCATGTCCATTCACCTCGCCGTCAATTATAGGTATGTGTATGTCTATAGCTAGCGCTTTTTACTATTTTTTTATAAATTCAATATGTTTTTCATGTAAGTATGTTCCACTTGATTTGATTGAGATTTGGAGCGATGCTGCTTGTGTTCTTCTTCACTTCTTCGAAGTTCACTAAACTGGGAGAGGAGAAAAAGAGGTTACTAGATGCTGAATTCAAGGAGGGAGGTCAACGTAATTGGTACTGCGACTATTTCTCCCATCAATATCTATCTGGCCTTTATTTCTTTCGTGAAGTGAAATGTCATTTATCTGTGTTAATTATAGAAATTCTAGTGCATGGAGGAAAAGAACTGGGGAAATGAGGACCTTTTATTAAATCTTGGGAAAAATGTGTTTACAAATTACAACCAATTGGAAACATGTTGCTTTTAGTGAAGCTCATTGGAAGGGATGGAGGGTTTAAGGCAAATGTTGCTTTCAGTAAAGAAGGATGAACTCCATCTTCTAGACAAATGTTGCTTCTAGTGTTGCATATTGAAAGGGACGAAGGGGGTTTCGTTTACCGTAGCTTACTGCCTCCGTCCCAATTTATATTGTTCTCTTTGAATGGTCAAAGATTAAGAAACAGAAAATTATGTGGTTGAAGTTTATACAGGGGAGAGATGACCAATTTGAACCACATAATGCTTTCTACAATTAGAAGTGGGCAAGTCTTTCCATCATCTTTGATGGAGCCAAAGATTCACTACTTTTTGGATTTAGGGTATGATGGAATAAAGCAAAGTGACTCTTTAAACTATTTGTGCTTCTTTTATAGTGAAATAGCGGTTAGTGAATGCAACTCTCGATGCTCATCATGGGTTATCTGGAAATAGCCGCTCTATGGTTTAAACATAGGTTGGAGCCTTTAAGGCACTGGGGTAATGTTGTTGTTGTTGTTAATTAGAAGCGGGCAAGATAATTGAGACAGGTCAAAAAGGAAAACAAGAAGATGAAGTTGGACAAATGAATTAACTAGTACGCGACTTTATCCTAAGTTCCTTGCTCAATTTTTTTAATGTTTTGTGTGCATGTACTCTATACTTTACCATGTGGTTACAGTCACACATAGTCACATACTCTACTTATAACTTTTTTTATATGTTCTGCTAGTTACTTTTGATTGTTATCTTCCCCAAATCTTTGTTTTTACAGGATTCAAGTTCTCTTCAACAGTGGCATTGCGACGGTCCTGGTCGTGATTGCTTGGAAGTTGATTGGTTCGCGTGACATGTGCCTTGACTCAAAACAGTCACAAGTCATCACTTCTTTAATTGGTGGTATTATTGGTCACTATTGCTGCTGCAACGGGGACACCTGGTCTTCAGAGCTTGGGATTCTAAGTGACGATCAGCCTCGTCTAATTACAACATTCAGGGTAAATTAATCATACATTTGCATCTTTTTTTCCCATCAGACACCTTCAGAGTTACGAGTGTACACTATTAGTTTGATCTCCTCTATTTTAACCCCATTGATTGAAGTTGATAAACCCCTTTTGGTACTTATATGTTGATATGCCAGTATAGTTTTTAAAAGACTGCCTCGGCATAGCTAAGCTGGCTCTATGCGCAAGGGTTGATGCCTTTCGAAGCTGACTAAGAGTTTTCTAATCATGGGCTGGTTTAGGGTTAGGTTCTTCATTTCCTCGAAAGTAAATTTTCTCTAGCTAAAAGGTCACACTCTCACATCTGTGTTGCCCGCATAAGGGGAAGATAGAAACAACTCCGTGTCTGAGAGGCTTACACATGGAGATGAAGAAAAAACTTGTGTTTGATGATGAACAGATGAAGACGAAGGTGAACATGAAGAAGAATACAATGATGTGATTAAATAAACTGCGTTTTAATTTTATTATTGCAATTATGCTTGCTTTCTTAAAATGTTTGTTTTTATTTGAGCATCTTGATTTAAAGCTCTTAAACTTCTACCTTTACTTCTTTAGGTTTTATTGTTGACGTGGATATTGTTTTGTTGTCATTGTTAATTGTTTATTTTTTTGTGATGGTTAATGGTTTATGTTTCTGAACTAATAATATGCATATATTAGTGTTTGTCATTGTTTGCATCTCATGTTCAAGACATGCACACCTCAACTCAAGAAGACCCTTTGCACCTTACTACACCTTGAACCTTTAACTGCTCTGTGGACTGATTAGCATCAATTTACTTAGACATCAAGAAGCTTCCCAACAAGTTATGGTGTAGCATATTCCACTCCTTCAAAACATTGATTAGTGTAGTGCAAGCTGTTGTAGGATAGATTTCCTACAACTACCTATACATGTAAAATGTGTGCCGCAGCTTTCATTACTCTAACTCTGAGAAACAGCTTTGTATTTCTTTAGCATTCAATATGCAAACTGTAGCTTATTCCTTTGCGTATTATGTTCAGCCAGTAAAGAGGGGCACGAATGGTGGAGTGACGAGAGCTGGGCTTTTAGCAGCAGCAGCCGCAGGGAGTGTCATCGGATTAACCTTTGTTCTCCTTGGGTTTCTAACAGCAAAATGCACATACACTGTGGCTCTAAAGCAGCTGCTGGTAGTACCACTCTCTGCTCTGGCTGGGCTCTGTGGAAGTCTCATAGATTCTTTACTTGGAGCAACTTTGCAGTTCAGTGGCTTCTGCACTGTTCGCAATAAGGTAATCATCTTTCACTCCCATTCGTATAGCTAAGCCCAACCATCTGAATCTATTTTGCAGAAATATAATTGTGAAGTTCTTTGTTCGAGGGTTGCAGGTTGTTGGCAAACCAGGACCAACTGTGAAAAAAATATCTGGTCTTAGCGTTCTAGACAACAATGCCGTCAACCTTGTTTCTATACTGCTCACGGCAGCACTGTCTTCAACGGCTTGTTTATTCATATTCTGAAACCCATAACGTTGGATCGATTTATAAAAAAAATTGTGAATCTGAGGGTTTGTAATGTTAAAACTGTCACAGAATAAGGGATGCAACTGCAGCTGTTACAAAAAATCTCCGTCCTAAAAAAGTTGCATCACTTTGAGTTGGTCGTTATAACTTATAATGACACGCTTATTATGACAATGCAATAGTGGGATTGTACTACGTCTGCCTTAGAATTTTCGGTCTTAGAATATTTTCGTCTCTACGTCAATTTTAAAGTAACATGAATTGAAGATAAATTGGATCAATCATCGTAAAATGAATTGTATTTTTTATTGAGATGGAGGGAGTATGGTCTTTCATCGCCAAAAGGTGGAATAAATTTAAACAAGCTCGGTACCAAGGTGGCCAAGTTTAGGCGCAACATTAGGGGAAGAAAAAGCTCAAACAATCAAACTCTCGAGTCTTGAACTCTTGACCCATTTTTTAAAGTTTTCTTTCATATTGAAAAATAAAGTAGGATATTAGAATAAACTAGATTGAGTTGGATATTGTTGTGAAAACGAAAACATAATTGATATACTTACAAATTACATTAAATATTTAAGAAACAGGATGTGACTTTATTATTTTATATAAAAAATTGAGTTAAAACATAATTAAGCATAAGCAATGAGACAAAGTTATTGCAAAATATTGATTTGGTCAAAATATAATTAAATATCATTTCTAATGGTCAAAATAATACTTCCTCTATCCTAAATTAATTCTCCTAGTTTGACTTTGCACGTAGTTTAAGAAAAATAAAATTGTATAGTTGAAAGTGTTGAAGAAAAGAGAAAAAGGGCTAAATTTTCTTTCAGATTGAAAAAATAGAGTAGGATGTTAGAAAGAACTAGGTTGAGTTGGATATTATTGTGAAAACTAAAGCATTATATACATACACATTACATTAAATGTTTAAGAAATAAAAGGTGTCACAATTATTTTGTATTATAAAAGTTGAGTTAAAATACAACTACGTATAAGCGATTAGACAATTTACCACGAAATATAGATTTGGTTGAAATATAAATAAATGCCATCTCTATTGGTCAAAATAATTAAAATGTCATTGGAGTATGTCAATTTACTAAAATCCATTTTGATGGAGGCTTGAGTCTTCCAACTCGGGTTAAAGGATGTTGTGCCAAGCAAAATGCGTGAAGTAAGCGATGTGGGGAGCGTGTGGACATCTAGGAGTACTGACTTCACCTGGTCGTCTACCTCATGACCGACCTCCATGGTTCGTTGGATAGCGGGTCGGTACAACCAGGTCATCTAAGACGACTGAAGTGGGTAGCTGACTAAGGTTTTCAACTCACAACAAGGAGTGCAAGAAGTACAACAAGCTCTTTGCGACAAACATATTTGAGAGATGCCCCTAGTTGGACAATGCATGAGAAATCAAAACTAGAAGAACACACAAATATTATGCAACAAAGTGACATCAAATCATAGGCTATACTATAATCTTTCAACAAATAATGGGCTATATCATTGCTACAATAGTTGTAGGTTGTAATACAAATATCCCTCTCCGCTCTCAAAATGCATGATCCTAGAACTCTCTCTCTCTCTCTCTCTAAGCAATAGGAGCACTTCGGTTTTGTGCTTATGTATATGTTATACTTTTCACTTATTTGTGATCTTACTCAATTCTGACCTCCTTAAGGTTGTTGTGTTTGGTGGTTTAACGATCAAGTTGGTGCTTTCATGAGAGTTATGAGGGTATACTCTAAGGTTAAATTTTATTTTTGACAAAGGTAACTAGAAGAAGCCCTAACAACAACAATAACAAAAAGAGCAACAGAAGCACCTCCCTCATGAAGGAGACCAGCCAAGCTGGTGGGCAATGTTATGCCACGACCACTTTGGTGATTGTCAAGTAGCTAACTGAATGCGCCGTTATTTTATTTCAAGCTTTAGGGTACTTGAGTAATTCTAAGGAGTCATTGTTTCCCTCATTGTTTTCACGGAAAGTGCAAACAAGAATGCTCTTGTACCCAACCCAAACCAACCACGAGTTTGCCACAGACGGTCACCATAGTGAATGTAGCGATTTGCGCAGAAACGCTACCTGCATGACCCACAAGAAGAAAAATTTTATGGCTCCCTAGGTGGACCACGTGGAGGTGGAAACCATGCACGAGGAGGAAGAGCCTAACCAACACAAGGTCTCCACATTCTAATGGTCATGCCTCGCATGTCTAACGAGATCACATGTTGTTTCTTCTTCGTCGCGTTGCAGTGGCACATTTACGTCAAGTTTAACAAGCTAAATACAAAAGGGCTACATCAATGAATGAACAAATTAGCCACGAGATTCTTGGACCATGTTTTGCACTTGAACGCCAAAAACACCCCTACACGCACCTCTTTAGCATAAGAATCCACAAGGGGGTGAAGCCGAGGGACTTTTTATCTCGAGGGAGAAGAAAGCCACCAACACCCACTGGACGGGCATCATCATGTTCCACACTACTTTACCCCGCATTGACCTCTGGATTGAGCTCTTGAGAAACCTTTAGGCCCCAACAAACTAACTTGGAGACGATATCGGGTGCCAATTCAAATGCATTGCCTTTGAGGTGACAGCCCGGCCTCTAGAAGATGTTGGGTCCAATAAGAAGATCTCCACTCCCTTGGGTGAGTCACCAAAGAAGAACAAGAAGAAAGAGGAGGAGGAGGAGGAGGACAACACCTTTGGGCGATCGTGTGACAAAACCTTCTACCGGAAGGGCAACCCAGTCAATATATTTATAGATAATCTAATCCATACACATTCTTCATATCTAGAGACCTTCACGGTGAGCGGATGCATGGACTAATTTGTGAGTACTATCGTAACAACACTGGCAATACAAACAAACATATTATGCTATAGAAAAAGATCAGTTGCCTCATCTAACGGGGGCACGTCCATTTTGGACAAATTTCCCGTTTTTATTCTATTCTAGACATAGTAGTAAGCCAAAAGTTAGATTATTAAGCAAATAATCATTCAAGTTAGTAAAAAGCATTAGTCATATTTTTCGGGTCGATTATAGGGCATTTCATATTTCTAATTAATTTATTTCAATATTTGTGAAAACTCAAAAAATTACATTTTATATATTCCTTACATTCCATATATTTCTTTTCATTTTGACTTTGTGGAGAACGTTTTAAAACTTTGACCATAAATTATGAAAAAAATATTGAATTATGGAATAGGTATAATATCATTATATCAATAGATTCATTTTGAAATATATGTTTGAAATGTCATATTTTTATAATCTATGTTTATATATAAATAAAGATGTTGATTATCAAAGTGTTATATTAGAAACCATGAAAACTAAAATGTTTGAAATGAGACATAATTATGAAAGTGTTAAAGACATAGGCCAGAAGGAATATTTAAAAATCACATTAAAAATAATGCTTGTATAAAATAAGATACAATTTAATAATGTTATTTAAAAAGATAATAAAAAAGATAAGAAAAAAATATCATGAATACTGATTTAAAAAAAGGGTAAAGTTGAAATTTTTGGCAAGGTGGAATGGTTCGATTAGCAATTCCACACTTAAGAATTACGAGTAAGATTCTTTTTTTGTGGGAGGTCACCGTACCAATTTTTTGGTGAGACCATAGGGTTCAATTTATTTTTATTTTACGGAGTAATTTTTATTTTTTGAAAAAAGGGATACTGTAGTTGTGGAACTGTGGTACAGGAATGACATTTTGGCTGTGTGTGAGCAGCTCACGTGAAGGTGGTGAAGTTCCCCAGACAAAAATGCGACAAACACCCCTCCCGAGGACCTCCGTCTTACTGATTGGAATCTGTCTCGTAAAACCCCCCTCCCTCTTCTTCCGCAGAATCACCTCTCTCAACTCACTCCTCCTCGCCTAAGCTCCCATGGCGTCCTTCTGTTTCAGCATCAAGACCACATCCATCTTCGAGCCGACTCGTTTCATTCCACTCCGAAATGCCTCGATTCGCCGCCGGCCAATCCAGTATCCGTCTCCGAGAAAATCCGCAGCTGCTTTGTCGTCTATCGTCTTCGCCTCTTCTTCCTCTTCCTCCCCGGCATCTCCCTCGGCCAACATCCCCGAATCTGATGCTCTCAAGGTATTTGTAATTTTTGTGTGTTTGTGTGCGCTTGCTGAACTATTTACCAGTTTGATTCTCAAAAATCGCAGATCAAATCAGTACCGACAAAGCCAATTGAAGGGCAGAAGACCGGAACGAGCGGGCTCCGGAAGAGGACTAAGGTTTTCATGGAAGAGAATTACCTTGCGAACTGGATCCAGGCATTATTTAACTCACTCTCGCCTGAGGATTATAAGGACGGGTTGTTGATTCTGGGCGGCGATGGCAGATTTTTTAACCGCGAGGCGGCTCAGATAATCATTAAGATTGCAGCTGGCAATGGGGTTGGGAAAATTATGGTTGGCAAGGATGGCATAATGTCTACCCCAGCCGTCTCTGCAGTGATTCGGAAGAGAAAGGCCAATGGTGGCTTTGTAATGAGTGCAAGCCATAATCCTGGTGGCCCTGAATATGATTGGGGCATCAAGTTCAATTACAGCAGTGGCCAACCGGCGCCAGAGTCCATCACGGACAAAATCTATGGGAACACACTGTCAATTTCTGAAATAAAGATGGCTGACATTCCAGATGTTGATCTCTCTCAGCTTGGTGTCACTAGGCATGGGGATTTTGTTGTTGAAGTGGTCGATCCAGTCGGCGACTACTTGGAGCTAATGCAGGAGTTATTTGACTTTTCGCTCATCAAAGGTCTGATCTCCAGACCTGATTTCAGGTTCGTCTTCGATGCGATGCACGCGGTTACTGGTGCTTATGCGAAGCCTATTTTTGTTGACATGCTCGGAGCTAGCTTGGAATGTATTGTTAATGGTGTGCCCCTTGAGGATTTTGGGCATGGCCATCCGGACCCTAATCTTACATACGCGAAGGATTTGGTCAACATAATGCACGGCGAGGATGGCCCTGATTTCGGTTCTGCTAGTGATGGTGATGGTGACAGAAACATGATTCTTGGGAGGGGATTCTTTGTTACTCCTTCAGACTCTGTCGCTGTTATTGCTGCCAATGCGAAAGAGGCTATTCCTTACTTCAAAAGTGGTCTTAAGGGATTGGCTCGCTCCATGCCCACTAGTGGTGCTTTGGACCGTGTTGCCGAAAAACTAAACCTCCCATTTTACGAGGTCCCAACTGGTTGGAAATTCTTTGCAAATCTAATGGATGCAGGAAACTTATCAGTTTGTGGGGAAGAAAGTTTCGGGACAGGCTCTGACCACATTCGTGAGAAAGATGGGATATGGGCTGTTTTGGCTTGGCTTTCAATATTAGCATTCAAGAACAAGGAGAAGAAAGCAGGGGAGACATTGGTTTCTGTGGGTGATGTTGTCAGGGATCATTGGGCAGCTTATGGGAGGAACTTCTTTTCTAGATACGATTACGAGGAATGTGAGTCCGAAGGAGCCAATGAGATGATTGCATATCTTAGAGGCTTGGTCTCTACAAGTAAGGCTGGTGATAAGTATGGAAGCTATACCCTCAATTTTGCCGATGACTTTTCCTATGTTGATCCCGTGGATGGAAGTGTTGCATCCAAACAGGGAGTGAGATTTGTGTTCACAGATGGGTCAAGGATCATCTTTAGATTATCGGGCACTGGTTCAGCTGGTGCTACTGTAAGAATGTATATCGAACAGTTCGAGCCAGATGCTTCTAAGCACAATGTTGATGCCCAAACTGCATTGCAGCCATTGATAGATCTTGCTCTCTCAGTGTCGAAGCTGAAAGAGTTTACCGGACGAGAGAAGCCAACTGTCATAACATGAAAACAACACTCAACTTTATATGGTATCAGGTTGCCGACTCCTCCTTCGTCTATTAGTTGAACACTTCAATTTATCATTTTTTTTTCTTTTTCGTGTTGAATGATAAGCTGTCCCCGATGACAGAAATTAGCTTCGTTTTAAAATGTGTGAAACTTGTTGTGAGCAAAATATGGATACACCGTATGTTGATTTTCATGTTGTCAAATAATCCCAATGGAAGCAGATTGTGTACAACTCTTTTGTAAAATTTTGCTAGTACATCATGGGCAGGTGGTTTCTGAAGTTACCATTCATCTAATAGGTTGTCTTGAACTCTTAATCTTTGTGCTAGGAGGATGAACTTCAAAAAATACCCAATCACCAAATCTCAATTCATATTTACCAACTTTGGCATACTTTTCTGGTAGCTTTGGGTTGTTGTTTTTAAATCTTGTGCTCACTATTTTCACACTTATCAATCTCTCTCTCAAGTTCAAGACTACTATCTCTCACTATTTTTGTTTTTTAACCGAAATGCACTGTATATTTAACATGGCTGGGGAGACAAGCAAAACTCAGGATTTTTACAACAACCAAAATAGCAAACGAGCATAGACCATATTGGAGTAGCTTTTTTTCTTTTGGCTAAAATCTACGATTATCTTTCAACTTTATGAGCTATGCACGATTGGTCCTTCAAGTTTCAAAAGTCAATAAATAGTCCTTCAAATATTCATAACCTTCCACATGCAGTCCTTCAAGTTCCAAAAGTTCATAAGTAGTCCTTTAATTATTCATCAACTCTCGAAATGGAGTTCTTTTTATAGTATACGTTAAAAAAATAAATAGATTACTACTTCCATATATATAATAGGAAGTACTTGTACCTATACGTAGGTGACTGTTTTTTGCGTATAGAGAATTAATGAGTTTCCACAATTCCAATCAAAGTTTTGTGTTCTTTACCGTACAAATTGAACCGCTTTGACAGTAAAATTATCCCCAGCATTTACAATAGGAGGGAAAGACCCACTGCATTGCGCTGCTCGGAGGACGTGGCTAGTGTCGGGCACCTATTACGGGTCGGAAGTTGCACCTGGCACTGAGGCGGAAGTTATATATATATGAAGCTAGTTGCATCTGACACCCATTGCAGGTCGGACATTATATATATACTGCTAGTACTTCGTTTAGCTTTTAATGTGTACCATAAAAAAGACTGCATTTAGAGGGTTGATGAGTATTAGAACGATTATTTACGAACTTTTGAAACTTGAAAGACTGGATTTGGAGGTTACTGAATACTTGAAAGATTATTTATGAACTTTTGAAACTTGAAAGACCAATGATGGATTTTAGTTTTTTTTAATTTGTTGCTCTTGTGTTTGAAAATCATCTCATTCATAAATTTTCTTTGTTTGCTTTCTAGATCTTCATAAAGATATGTGTAATAATGTGTAAGAAATCCTTAAAATATGAATGATTCTTTGAAAATCATGTTTTTTTAAATTAGTTTGAATACCCCTAACGTGTTCTTATTTTTTAAAATTAGTGTATTAAATTAGTGTATTGAATACCTCTAGTTTTTTGTAAAATTTATATTGACTTTTTAAAATCCTAATTTTATAGTTTATACACCTAAATTTGTACGGATTTTAAAATAGACAAATTTAATGCACCTAAACTTTTAGATTCTATGAACTACTTTAAAACACTAGTAAATCTATATAATTCTCTTAGGGTATGTTTGGTTGGAAGAGAGGTGAAGAGAAGGAATGGATGGGAGGAAATGAGAAGGGAAGGATTCCCTTCTTCTTGCTTGGTTGGGAGGCGAAGGAAATATTTTATTTTTGATATTTTATTTATATTTTTCATTTTTAAATTTTTTTGTTATCAATTTAAAAATTATTATCAGTATTTTTTATTTTATTCATTCATTTTATTTTTTATAATTTTATTTTTTATAATTTTTATTATTAATCCTACATTTTAATTTTTTTATTTTTTTATTTAATTTATTATTTTAAATTTAATTATATATATATATATATACACATAAGTATTATTTAATTTGTAATTTATTACAACGATTTTTCATTATCAAATGATTGATTTATTTTATTATTATAATTATTTATTATTGTTAACTTTTACCATTTCTTCTATAATGATTTTATTTTTTTATTATTTTTATTATGGGTTTTTATTTTATTATATTATTATTTTTTGTTTTATTTTAATTTTAATTTTTTTATATTTACTTATTTATTTTTATTATTATTTATTTATTTTATTAGTATAAATTTTTTGTTACTATTAATTTTTTTATTTTATAATGATTTATTTTATTTTCTAATTATTTATTTAGTTGTTTTGGCATTATTTATTTATTATTACTACTATTTATTTATTTTATTTTGTTTATTTATTTTATTATATACTTTTTTTATTGCTCGTGTGAAAAAATTGACAGAAAACGAAGAGAATGACATGGGGAAAGAATATTTCGTCTCATTTTGAAGAATTAACTTGGAGGGGAGAGAAGGAAATTGAAGTTAAAATTTTGAGCAATGTTAGGGGTACACCAAAAGTGTACTCCAAATGTACACTATCCCCTTCTCCACCACCCATTTTTATTTGATTTTTATTTAATTATTTTTTTATTTTCTAGCCCAATTATGTGCCCCCTAATATTTTGGGTCCTCTCCCCTCCATGTTTTTAAACTAAACAAGAGCGATTCTGATTCCATTCCCTCCCCTTCACTCCAACCAGACAAACTCTTACACTATGTTTGTTTCAAAGATTTTGAAAAAGAAAAGAAAAGAAAATAAGATGGAAAAGAATTTTTCTTGTTTGGTTAGAGAAGAAAATGAAATGATAAGCAAAATGTATTAAGAGGAGGAAAAACAAAATTCCCGCCATTCTAGTGAGGAAAATTAGAGGAAAACATTTTCTTTTTTTTTCATCCAAATTCTTTGAACCAAACATAGTGTTAGAGTTATTTGGTGAGCAAAAGAGATACTCTGTATAAATTTTGGTGTCTCTAGATATTAGAATTTTTTTGGTATTTGGTAAAACCAAAATAGATATCGAGTTTGATATCTCTAGATATCATAAATTCTCTAAATGGAAACTTTCATATCTCCCGAATTTAAAAGATATAAATATCTGAGTTATATATCTCCATTATCGGCTACCATTGTCACCGACAACCACCCCGTCGTTGCTCACCCCCTATCACTAATGAAATCAATTTTAAAGTTCTCCAAACAATTTCTATCTCATATTACAAAACTTATACTACCTCCGTCCTATAGTATTTGTCAATTTTCATTTTTACACACTATCCAATACACTTTTTTAATCCATTTTATCTTGTAATTTGTATATTAAAAAATTATAGAAATTATATATTAATAATCTATATGTTAAAGACAAATCAAACAAGATCACACATGACTATATTTAGGCTTACACATTGAAAAAATTTGATGAGTCAAAGTGCTTAGATGAACAGTTCCAAAAGTCAAAAGTGGACGAATATAGCGGGACGAAGGTAGTATTACTTTTTTCAGATTTCAAAACACACCTATGGGCCTGTTTGGGAATAACGTTAGAAATTAACGTTAGCATTTCGGATAAAATTTTAACGGTGCAGGTTAAGTTGAAAATGCTAATACTAAACGTTGTCCGTAGTTCGTAGATAGCCTTTTGAAAATACTAACGCTAATCTCTAACGCTATTATCAAATAGACTTTATATCAATTTAAAACTTGGGGTCTATTGGACCCGATATTATTCTATTGGACCCGGTAGAATGATAAGTTCCATACTTCCATGGTGAGGTGTTGCTTGGAGGAGGGACCACGTGTCCACGTTCCCCCGGAACAGCGACACAAGTCTCCAAACCATTTTCTCTTTTCCAAATCTCACACCCCATTCCTTCGCGACTGACTAGCAGAGCAGGCCTTCTTCCTTCAGCAGCAGGAAAAATATCAACAAAAATACAGAGAGCCAAGTGCGGGCGGAATGGACGGATTGAAGAAGGTCGACAGATGGGGTTACAAAGTGAGGACTTCTTCTGAATCTTGTATTACGGCCATCAATTCCTATTACACTCAGGTTCTTTATCTGGGCTCTTTGGATTTCGTAATATTTGTTCATGATTTTCGTGATTCTTGGTTCCTTTTTTTCTTATTGGTCGATTATTAATTTGGGTCCAAAAAATATTGAGGTGAACTCAGGTGATTGGTTATGGAAGAAACAGGAATGTGATTTTGGATGCTCCTCGAGCTGACCCAGACTGTGTTTTGAGCAACATTTTGGCAGCCCACTTTCTCTTCTCCTGCGATCCTTCTAAAGCCATTCGACTTCTTGAAGCTGCCAATTCTCGTCTCGTAACCTCTTTTTCTTACAGTATTTCCTAACTTGTATTTGATAGTTTTTGCTCTTTTTTTTTTGAAGAAGAAGAAGAAGAAGATTGAATTGGTTCTTATTTTTGATGGGTACATAAATAGGGAACTGCTACCGTATATGAGAAAGCGGTTTTTGATGCTGTCAGCTATTTGATTTCTCCTGGCAAAGATGATGATGAAGCTATTGAATTGCACTTCAAGGTGCCATTTATGTTAATTTTTTTTTTGTTATTTCCCATTTTCCTTGAAAGTTTAATTTCCCCTCAGTTGGTTTGATGGAGTGTAAAATAACTGCAATCATAAAGTTTGAGACTCAATGAAATGTTTCTGAACATGTATATGACTTGAACTTGGGCTTTGCAGTTCTTTTCTATTATTGAATATAGAATTCATGTTTACAACTTCTCTCTCTCTCTCTCTCTCTCTCTCTCTCTCTCTAGCTCCTGAAAGATTTTCCGAGGGATCTTGCCTCTCTGAAACGGGCACAAGTGCTTTGTTTTTACATGGGTCGACCTGATGTCTCATTGAGACTTGTTGAACAGGTTCTTTTCCTGCTTCATAATATATTTATTGAATGCTAGATATTGTATTAAGCTAGTTGACATGTGATAGCGCACCCATTTAGAGGCAGAAATGATTGGAAATTAACTCTTGTGATGTTCCTGTTGAAATTTGAATCTCCCTTGGTGTTTGCCAACAGGTTCTTCCACAAAATGAAGGAGAGAATTACATTTATGGCATGCTTGCTTTTCCTTTACTAGAGCTTGGTAGGATGGCAGATGCTGAGAAAGCTGCAAAGAGGGGATTGGAGATCAATAAGGAAGATCCATGGGCACAACATGCGGTTAGTTGAACCACAGAAGTATTCTCCATTGAGT